GACATAGACATAGACATAGACATAGACATAGACATAGACATAGACATAGACATAGACATAGACATAGACATAGACATAGACATAGACATAGACATAGACATAGACATAGACATAGACATAGACATAGACATAGACATAGACATAGACATAGACATAGACATAGACACATATTTAAATCTTTTTAAAATTACTACACCATCCGATAGTCAACTTTGAGAGGCTGTTGAGAATATTAAAAAATCAGATGTGAGCGCCACTCTCACCCCACCCCCCCTCCCAAGGCGGTAGGGTGCACCCATATTTCCCAGCGGCTATCTTAGCGCCTGGGGTTCGTTCATTTTGAGCTCTGCACAAGGGGTCAAGTGTAAAATTTGACTCAACTGTCCAACTGCAATTGGGACGGCCTCCATTATTTCAAGTTTCCCATATGGTTACTGTATTCAACGACCAACCCGAACAATGGTCGCACCGGGCTCCCTCGGTTGCGTAACCGGGTGTCGCAGAGGTGTATTGTGCCTCTGTATTACTGATGGTGATTAGCCTTCACTGACATACCACCTGGCGGTTAAATATACAAACCCGTGCCCCTAAAGCCGAGATCCACGAAATATAGCGCAGACAATGCGCCTAAAATACCGATTGGTCACGCGTTGACGAAATCCTCATTATATAAGTAGACCTCACTTCGGTGTTTATGACTAGACCGTAGCAACGCGCGATGGGCTCACATATTTATTATAATTTCAGGACGCCATGTTCTTCTTAGACTTGCTGTTAAATCTAGATCTGCTGTATGGTATTTGTAAAAACACAATCTTGAAAGTTTCAATGAGTGTGAGACACTACGTTCAAATGCTTTATTTATTATAAATTTCAAGTAGGTAAAGTTTATTTTTTTAAAAAACCGGGTGACACGATTTAGGGGGTGACACCAAATAAAAAAAAAAGAAGAATTAACTGTCAAACTAATTTTTTTCAGTTAAAATAATAAAATAGTATGGGTGACACCAAATAGAAAAGGCAAAATTATTAGAGTGGGGGGGGGGGGGTGGGCTGGAGGTTATGGGTGGGGGGTTGATACCCCCACTTACCGTACAGATAACAGCTAACCTAGTGATTGCGCTGTTTACTGAAGTCTAACGTGCCTCACGATGTCCAGCCAGGCTGTGATATAACAACACAAACTGTTATTTGACGTCCTAACGTCTAAAGATGTCAGCTTTTTATTTCGTTACTCCACGGTATTTCGGTACAGCTGTCACTATCATAGGGAGATAACACCATTTAGATATCACGACTGTAACTGTATTGAGTTGTTGGGTGGGGGTGGTGGGGGAGGGGAAGGGCTGGAGGGAGACTCGAGGTGTACGGTGGAGTAGTTGTGTGATAGAGTTGTTGGGTGGGGGTGGGGGAGCCTAGAGGGGTGTGGTGGAATATTTGTTGTGCGCTTTTCTGTTTTCTACATGATGAACAGTTCAACGATTGAAGATGTTTTGTATAACAAAGTCTGTGGATGATTGGCAGGTTGCTGGTGGGTTTTTGTGCAAAGTTTTAGTGTGGGAAGGAATGAAAGCGTGGTATCTGGTATGGCTTTTGGGGTGGGGGTGAGCTGTTACAAAGGGGTTTTGCAAAGAGGTGTTCGCACATACATCACTCTCAAGCTGACGTTAATGTGCACTTAAACACCTCAACATTAGCCTTGATTTAACTTATATATCCGGCTCTGGTAACTCTAAGTATCAATAGGAATTTCGAGTATTACTCATTGTTATAGCTTATTGAAAATTTAAAATAAATAGTTTATATCTTTACAGTTTACAGCACTAAAACATACGGTCAAAATGGTCCTGAAACGACACTCGACCACGGTCGTTGGAAATACCGAGTTTACATTAAGTTTAAATTTAGTTTAAATTTAGTATAAACTTAGTTTAAATTTAAAATAAACCGGGAGTGATCTCCCCTAAACTTTCTCGAATATTCTTATATAACTAGGAATATAGACATGATTATTAATTACTTAAACTTATAAAAATAGAATAGAATCTCATAGAAAAAAGAATAGCGCACCAAGCGAACGCCAAAACAAAATGTGCGCAATATTATTAGTACCTTATAAATTTACATGCGTTTTTTTGAGAAATCGGAAATAGCGTAAAATAGTACTTCCGTTCAACTGAAATTACTCAAAATTTGACAGAAGGTAGAGAATTAGATTTTTTATTTACATGGGAAATTTCATTTATCTATCGGAAATAGTACTCAAGTTATAGGCTTTTGAAAATTCAAAGTAGAAAAAGTACCACTTCCGGTTCGCGGAAATCGCTCAAAAGTTGATCAGGATCTACGATTTTGATAAAATACTTATATATGAAATTTCATCAATGTAGCTGTAACGGTACTCAAGTTATCGTGTTTACGCACAGACAGACAGACACACAGACATACGGACAAGATTGCAAAATTATGTTTTTCCGTATCAGTGAGGTGTAAAACGTCGAGATTTGTAAAAGTCTCGATTTTTTTTTGCACGATTACTAAACTTTATCTATACTTCGTATATACGAGAAAGTAATAAATGTAGGTTAAATATAGTTTAAATTTAGTTTACATTTAGTTAAAATAATTCAATTTAAACATAATATGATTTTATATTAAATTTAGTTTTAATTTAATTAAAATTTAGTTTAAAATTCGAGCATAGGAAAATATAAAAGCTGATATGCAAAGCAGCTGTGTTGAAAGTGGCAAAAATCGACAGCATCTCATAATTAGCTAATCCCATTTTTATTTTATTTGATGATTTGTTGCTATAATTTTCATAGCATTAGGTAATGAATAACTATTCCAATAACCTCATTATTATGCCCCTCCCATTATTATACTGCCACTATCATACGCTTAATGATTAACTTGTCCAGTTATTGGTTGGGTGAACTTGTCGCCTCCCACCTCCCCCCCCCCACACCTTACACTACATGTTCAAACCCCTCTATGTGTAACCATCTTACAACAGTATCAAATATCTAGCTAGTACAACAGTATCAGATATCTGGTTAGTACGTGTATCGAAGCATAAAACGAGTTTTGAGATCTGTGGCTCGTTCTATTATGCTGGTTGATAAAAGAAACAAAACTGAAACTAATCTATTTCTATCTTCCGGGAATATTTCTTTACCTGAAAATCTAAAACAAAACCTACAATATGGGCGGGGCATAGCTCAGCTCGCTTAGTTTCCGTGAACTACTTAAAAGCGTAGAATGTTTTTGAAAATCAGGTGACTAAATCGGTTTTTGCAAAAGCCGTTCTCGTTATATGCGTAACAGGGGCGTAGAGAGAGGGGGGGGGGGGCCGCATCGGGTGACACCATTTAGGGGGTGACACCAAGGCAAAAAATAGCAAAATATATACAGAAAAATGATAATTCCACTTAATTAAGTGATTAATTCGAGTGTTAAATAGTCTTTTAAGTGGTGCAAATCGAAAGTTTGATGCGTAACTGGGCTTTTGTACAAAGGGTGCAGTACAGAATAGTAGAAGCGTTAACTTACACACAATACTAAAACAGTGTCTCGTGCATTATTGTCAAACATCAGTTGTATTCAGATAATTTATTTGTCAGCGGAGTAAACAAACTCTTTGGTAGTTCCTCGAAAACGATGGCTCTTTACAAAGGATAGAACCCCATTTTGAACGTCATAAAAGAAACAGTCAAATCATAGCAATGCCAAGTAAAAACAGACAGAAATATGTAAAGAGGCTGAGGAAAAGGTGCAGCATACAGCTAGGTACGGTGAAGTTCTCATGTACAATACTAGCCTTTGATTGTGTTTAATTGGTGATGTCCCTGACACTACCGTTTTTTAAAAATATTAATACAAGAAACAAAAATCAGGCTGGCGGCATTCACAACGCACTACATATTTTATCCTTGGTTTGCTGAAATGTTTAGTTTCGATCCTTTAATTAGTGGACGTAAAATGCGTATCTGTAACACATAGTCGATCAACGCAAGACAACTTAAATGTAAGGTAAAATTCCACATTTAGCACCCATGTTTTTACAAGCTTTGTATTGTGATTAGATCACACGATCTCGTCTGTCAATGACGAACGAACGTCTAATGGAAGTCAAATCAGGTCTGGACCTATTTTGTCTCTGGTCGAATAACTTAATGGGGTCAAAGTTCGATGAACATTAGCTAGAATTTTTAAAAGGGTGTATACGTGAGGTGGCGAGGTAGGAATAACTACACTTGATTTTATAGCGTGTACGAATTCTGTAGCAGTGTATCACTCCCCATATTTCTTTCAAGACTCAGTATCCCTCCGCATGTATCTGTCAAGACATTGTACCACTCCCCATATTTCTTTCAAGACTCTGTATCCCTCCGCATGTATCTGTCAAGACATTGTACCACTCCCCATATTTCTTTCAAGACTCTGTATCCCTCCGCATGTATCTGTCAAGACATTGTACCACTCCCCATATTTTTTTCAAGACTCTATCCCTCCGCATGTTTCAGTCAAGACATTTGATACTGCTAGTCATAACTGCGTCAATAAATCAGGCATGGAAGTGCGGCTTTGAGAACATTTCTTGTCGGGATCCAGTCGTTTAACCAAATCTGTTTCTAGTAACGTTTAATACAATCTTTATAGCAAAAGGTCCAATTGATAATGGTCACCCGAATGTACATACAAACGAACATGCCACAAATCAAAAGACGAGTGAAGACAAAACCGCCCAAGTTTTGATACGCCCGATGGTAAATGATGCGTGTCTTGCCCAATGGAGCGTGTCGCGTCCCATGTTTGTGTTGAAGAAAGCTGTTGGCAACCAATGCAGGTGTAGACTGGTTTGTTACTTAATGAGTCTAGATCTAGAACCAGCTGAGTTAATTAAAACCATTTACAGCACCACCTCTTGTGTATGTAAACAGGCAGTTTTCAATGGTTAATATATTGTGGAGTCACCTGTTTTCCACCAATCGTATGTAGCCAGCAATTATCAATCTACAAGGTTTCATTGGTTACATTCTGTTCCAATTATCAGATCACAAATCTCAGGTTTATAAAGCGTGTCTCTAGGAGTCATTTTGTTGATATCGTACGTCAAACCTCGGGCTGCTGCTAACATCAGATCGGCTTAGAGTCCTAGAAACTGACAAGGTAAGGACACATTCTGTAGGTAGCCGTATATTTGTACAGAACTATATCACACAATTATTTTGGATGCAATTTAATTAAAAATAATTTAAATTGGTAATACAACTGTTTAAATTATCGTTTTTTTTTTTAAAAAAATTGATGACTTGTAAGTTAAAAGATAGTAAATAGATATGTAAAAATTAGGAAACCTTTTAAGGTATTATTCTTTGATACTTTTTTGCGACACCTTTAGACATACATACAGATGAAATATCCTACACGTTTATTTTAGCGAACGAGGATTTTTAAAAATGACAAGTTTCGTTTATTTTCTGTTTTTCGGTGCATATATAAGCGTATTATTATAAAAGTAGTTTTATAATTGTTTTATTTTTACTTTTTAGTACATAAATATGTATTTTAAAAAAAAACTTATATCGAAATTTGATATTTAAGTTTTTTAAATCTATTAGAAGGCCTACTTTATTTTTTTTCAATTTGTTTGACATTACATACGATTAGAAATATTTAATTTAATCTGTCGCTTGCTATCTTTAGAGACAATTATCAGCCACATCTTAGTCCATGATTTCTGTCACACATGAAATCAATTATCTGTGACCACCGTTCCTCGCTTTCCACCACAACTCAATCTTGTTATCTCCCATTTTGTTATTCAATTACTAAATCTTTTGATTACATTTCAATGATTGATAAAATATATATGAAAAAGAGTTTGTTTTATTCTCGGACGAATGTATCTCGAAAGAAATCATTGCATTTGAAGTGTTTCAACAAATTTTTTCAAGGTTTTCAACAAACAAACACACGAATAAACAAAAAGACTACTAAATTAATGCTAATATTAATAATAAGTTCAATGGACTCCAAACGAAATATATATAAAAAAAAATTATAAACCGTACACTAAGCCATGCCTCTTGCGACCTGTTTCTTCAAACGGTTGGATCGAGCAGACAATAATTGACTTAGTCCTCTTTACTTCTTGTGGAACATAGGGCCTCCACCATGAACAAATTGTGTTGTAATTTCACATCGTTGCTAGACAAAGAGGGGTACGCACGTCAGTTCATAGAAACAACTTTTCAAAGTGATTTTATAACAGACCTCTCCTAAAATATGTTTAGGATACTGATTTGCTAATTTTGGCATAACAGATAAATGTGTAATTTTTTGCGTGGATCTATAAAATGTTTTACTTATTTTGCAGATGTTTTTATAGATGTTTTTCAAAAAAATTGAAAATAAGTTATTTTTTATATTTAATTATTTTATTTCTAGATGAATTCTTGCGTGTACCAACTGGTGTGTGCTGTCTGTGTGCTGATTTCTTTTCTGCCACATACATCAGCAGACTTTAGTACAGAGAGAGGGAAAGTATCTGAAGCTTGTAAGAGAACGTTAGACAAATGTGTAACGCTAGCTGGAAGTTCAACACCTTCAAATGACGCTGGTTGGTGCACTCTGTTTGGGGCTACAGTCAGTGGCGTCAGCGCCTACCAGTGTGTTGTAAGGATCGGACTTTGTACAGACGAGGAGTTTGTGGCTCTCAAAAATGGAGCCTGTGGTCAGACGGCTACTGCCCAGCAAACGCCAAGTGCTCTAAAGACCTCTGTGTATAATTTGATTAAATCGACAATTTCAGCTTGCCAGGATCAAATAGTTGATTGTATTTTCGTGTCCAGTGTGTCCACAGTTTTAAAACAACAGGAGCAGTACTGTAAACTGATGAACCTTGGGATCAGCAGCAAGACCACCACGACATGTCTAACAAAAGCTTGCTCAGCAACAGTTATCACCAACCTAAACACAACGTCCTGCTCGACAACCCAATCCCAACCTTTTTCTGACGCCATCGTGGCCACCTCTCAGATGTGTCAAGATGGTATGGAGTTATGCACCTATGGCGTCACTGAGGCGTTAGCTTTGATCCAAGGCGAGAAGTACTGTGACGTCATGAGTCTGTCAGTGAAAACCACAGCTCATGATTGCTTGCTTACAGAAGGCTGTACAGAGACTGAATTTCAGAGCTTGAAGGCAGCCTGTAGTGGTTCTAACCTTGTAGCCTCTCTTATCTTGTTATCACTTGCCGCACTACATCAGTTTTTTTAAGCTTGAATTTCTTTCAATACATCATCATCTTGGCATCTAAACACCTTTTTGCAATGTATTCAGATTTTCAAAGTTTGTTTTGACTAGTTTGTTAAGTTTGAGTGAATAACGTTTAATTATATCTGATGATTACCTCGCGTTTATAGTTCCTGAAATTTAAAATATATGACTTATATTATAAGCTTAGTCAGAAAGATTAAAATTCTAATTCAAGAATATAAGATATCCATATAAATATGATTTTGTTATTTTTTAAAAGATATAATTAGTAGAACAATTTATTGAAATATTAGACATGAGACATATCTTTGAAACTGAAATTTATTTCAATTTAAAACCGTTATCAATATCTAAATAAATAGCATATTAACTATTACAAAGGCGACATTAAACGTACCTTATTGTTTCATACAAGTAAATATTTATAAAATAGAAGATTGCAACCAATTTTTTAGAGACAGTTATATAACAATACTTATGGTTACGTCTGACAGATTTGTGGCCATTGTACTGATTAAACCTACTAAATCAGTTTTTTTTTTGCCACAAGGGGCGCTTTGTTTAAAGTTGGGGATCATATTTGAGTTGTTTAGGGAAACTTTATTTTTTAAAATATTTTTTCTGTAACAACCATAGAACAAGTTGAATTTACGAGATATAAAGATTATAATGTAGCATTGTTTCATGTGCTCGATGAGATGTTTCATAGTTTACATTCTCCTGAAATTTTGTATACACAGAGCAGTTGTTGTATCACAACGTATGTGACCTTTTGTCGTTTGCTATTTTTGTGGATTGCGATTTTTATTTGCAAAACATTTAGTTATCTGTTTTAATTTTGATATGATTGCTGTGCTGTAAAACTCTTTTTGTTTAATAAAAGTTTGTTTATCAATTAAACTTTCGTTATATTGGTGTTGTGTTAGTTATGTAATGAAGCTAGACTATTTTTTTCTGGACTGTATGCTGAGTGCCATTAACATGTGCCGTTATACTTTCTATTGCCCTAGTTAGCACTCAATTTAATATAAATTCTAAACAATATTTTCTTCTTCGGCCAGCGGATTTAAAAGTGGATGCATGCTGTATGTCGTAAATGTTAACTTATCTGGGTTTATTAGCCAATGACTGAAATTGAATTGGAACACGATAAAGCAAGTTTTGTGATATAGATGGGTGAGAGGGGGAGGGTGGGGGGGGGGGGGGTGGGGGGGGCAGGAGGTGGTGGGGGGGGGGAGGTTAAATTATGCAGAGGCTACTTTTTGTTGACATTGAAAACGTTTAAAAAAAAGTTATCTTTTCTAACATGATGGTCAACAGTGAGAAAAACACAGTTTTTAACAGTTTCTGTCATCTCGGCAAATAGTGTGGTCAGTTCTATGACCAGCCGTAATCTCACCCCCCCCACACCCCACAGCATGTGTTACATGGTGAGGTTACACTAATCTCACACAATATTGAAGAGAAAATCCTGCTGTCCCAATAACTTAGTACGTTATAAGTTAAGAATAAAATTGGAGCGTCAAAAATCGTAATATATTTTGAAAAGCAAATGTTCCAACAACTGAACCAACTGTGACGAAACATAGTAGATGTATGTGTACAAACATGCTTTACCCTTGTCCCAAGTCTTCAATGTTTTCAGTTGTGATGAAGCTTATTTTTCTGTAATTTTCAAGTTCGTTTTAATTTGGCAACATATTTCTGTCAAACTTTGTACCACTCCCCATATTTCTGTCAAGACATTGTACCACTCCCCATATTTCTGTCAAGACTGCTTGTTTTAACTTCTTCAGTGCATCCATCGTAAAAGTGCGGCTTTGAGAATTTAATTTGGCGGGTTCCAGGATCTCAGCTAAATCTGTTACTTGTAATTTCAATTCAAATTCTAGTGTGCACACAAACAAAACGCACACGCAAACGTCACCTGGCTATTGTGAGATGACTATCCTGTTATAATATCGAGCCACCAGTATGTTTGCGTGTCGTGTCTAGTGTTAGTTTTTTAGAAACCACGAGTTGTCCCGCGCCAGACGGCTGCTTTCACGGAGGCGGGGTGGGGGGGGGGGGGAAGGAGTGGAAAGTGAGGGTGAAGATAATCGTCCTTGACTAGATACTGATAATGTTTTAAAGCAAAATATTTTCAAACGCAGCATTGGTAGTGTCGAATTCACAAAAAAATGAATTACTGAAAAATAAGAATCAACGAGATTTACGCGTAGAACAATACAGGGGAATGATTGATGCTATCGCTGCGAAAGCACAAGGCAATAACATTCACTCTGGACAGTTGACCACTCTTCCCTCTATATTTCAAGGCAGTCCACGGTACATGCAACAGAGCTACCAAGACGCGATGGCGATTGTCCGCAAATGTGGAAAGCCTGGCTTGTTCCTAACATTCACCTGCATCCTGCTTGGCAGGAAATCTCTAACGCCATTTCCCATTATGAGCGACCAGAACACGGGCCTGATGTCGTTGCCCGCGTCCTTCATATCAAACTTCGTGAGTTTCTAACTGACATTCTGGAGAGGAATACTTTCGGCAATGTAGTCGAATACATTTTCGTCCTAGAGTTCCAAAAACGAGGCTTGCCTCATTGCCATATGTTACTGACAGTTGATTCACAGGGCAAAATAAGAGTCAAAGTTGACATAGACAAATGTGTCTGCGCTGAGCTTCCTAATACCAAAATACACCATCGACTTTTCCAGATTGTCACTTCATGCATGGTACATGTGGCACACTGAATGCCAACTCACCTTGCATTTCCCAAAGAACGTCAACGCCGAGAATCAAGAAAACCGCCGAAGACAGGGCACAACCGCAATTGTTGGCAAACACGACATCGACAATCGTTGGATAGTACCTTACAATCCCTAGCTTTTTCAGAAATTCAATGCTCATATTAACGCTTAAGTGTGCGCGTCCATTCAATGTTTCAAGTATCTATATAAGTACGTCTACAAAGGACACGACGCTGCATCCATTGCACTTCAGAAGGAGCCGGCCAATTGTGTTTTCCAACATGACAAAATACAAACTTTCCTTGATGGTAGGTATGTTAGTGCTCTTGAGGCTATGTGGCGTTTGAACGAGTACAGGAAAAATCGCACGTTATTACACGATTACCAGTTCATTTGCCAGAACAACAAGCCGTCTTCTTTCACGAGGGTCACGAAGAACTAGCACTAGAAAGACAGGCCAACAAAAACACCATATTCTTAGCTTGGTTTGAACTCAACAAAACGAAACCTGAAGCTGTGGAGTTACATTACACTGATGTTCCCCAACATTACACAAAAGAGAATTGGAGGAGGTGCAAAAGTGATAGGTAGAATTTCAGTTGTAGACATTAACGACACCGAACGTTATTACCTTAGGCTCCTCCTTACCCGTTCGGTAAGCATCACAAGTTTCAACCATCTACACACTGTCATCGGCATGGAATGTAACACTTTCAAAGAGAATATATGGCATGATACTCTTACAGAGGCATCTGAGATACAAATGCCAGCGTTCTTGCGACAAGTTTTCATTTTCATCTGTGTCTTAGGCGAATCACATAACGTTCGACACCTTTGGGACACGCATAAACTCTCCCTTTCTGAGGACTTTCTCAGAACGTATTCCACACGCACCGTTTGTATGTACGCTCTCACAGAAATAAATGACATGCTTCAACCACATGGCCTCAACCTGCACAACTTACACCTACTCTTCACTGACATTCTTCCAATGTGTGATTCATCTTCAGTCTTCGACGCTCAGGCTATAAATAACAACACCTCAGCAGTTAGATCACATGTCACTGCTTTTGACGTCTGGCTCGCTTAAACTCACACATTCACTCGCCAACCACCTTAACCGACCTTCTTTGCCTCCATAAACCCCATCCTTTATACGCCCATGAGCATTTCCCTGCTCCATCGATCTCATTACAACTCCAACCACCCCATCACTAGTGTTGAATCCGGTTTTTGACGACTCGAAAAGTACCGCACCAACTCACACACTAAAAATAGAACACAACAATAGTTAGGAGACGCATCATTGAGTCCGATGTCTGGTACACCTCACTCAAACCAATACGTTAATTTCCGAACCAACCTGCAAAAACCTAAACTGAATACAACCATAGGATTTCTACCTTTGCAATGTTTGCAATGTCTTGTGTTGTTACATTATTTAATATTTTAATGATGAGATTTTACCAACAAAAATCATTACAAAAGTAAAAAAAAAAAAAAGAACCAGAACCCTCTCATTCCCAGTGGCGTAGCGAGGTCGGGTGTCACCCGGTGCGGCACTTAATGGCGCCCCCCCCCCCCCCACCAGAGGAGTAGCGAACCTTCCCGGGGACAAACTTTCAACTTTCGATTTGCACACACCAACCCTTAAACTTTCGATTTGCACCTCTTAAAACACTATTTAACACTCGAATTAATCACTTAATTAAGTGGAAATCATTTTTCTCTATAATTTATATTTTGCTATTTCGCACCCCCCCCTCGCTACGCCACTGCTCATACCTCCTCCATTTCAATGTTTTTTACCCCATTACCCCTTATGTCGCTTAACTTTGAAGTTTCTCCTTTGCACATTCTTACTATTTATTAGCTACCTGTATACACAAATAGTATACAAAATGTTAAAACTGATCTAAACAGCATATTTATTATTTGGACATGTATATATTTGTAAATGCATTTGATTATGTAATAATCTTTTGAGCCTATTCATTACATTATGAGAACACTCTAAACCACTATGTTTGAAATGCTGAAAAAAACCACCTCTTGTTGCTATAAAGGCTTTTTTAATATTGGTTTTATATTCTACTGAAGCTTGCAGCAAAAAGTTGGATTTGTGTGTAGGTCTATTTGGAAGTTCAGCCCCTTCAACTGACGCTGGTTGGTGTTTTCTTTTGAAGGCAACAGTCGATGGCGTCAGCGCCTACCACAGTGTTGTAAGGATAGGAGAATTTAAGAGATGTCAATAAAAGACAACCAAAGTGTGTCTTAAAAATGAATTTTGTAGCAATATAACCGCCCGCTAACCAATAAAGATGTAGATTGTTGCTTTACTTAATATGGCTCGAACAATGACATGTTGAATAAATTAAAACCAAAAAGTAAAACAACCCCCTCCCTTCCCAGCCCACTCATGTTTTAAAAGACTCATAGATTTTGAGATCACAAGTTTTCCATCGCTGCTTGTAACCAAACAAGGACAACAAACTAGACGTAAAAGATTTCATTGGTTAATTTTCGTTTCATTGTGGCGCAACAACCACTCGGGCTATATAACGTGTAATAAGTCGCCATTTGTGTTACCTTGATCGTCAAAACAGATCTCTCCATAGTCTTTAACACCCTTTACGCGGCGACTGGGTGTAATCAACCCAAAGTCGCTATATTTTTGCTCATATCTCGAGTCTCGTTATATACATTTTTCTGGGCCTCATTCCCATCTATAAGGTGGTTGGGATGAACACATTAGAGATTGTAAATTTTAAAAATGTGCATTTTTTATGAGGGTTTGAAATTTTTTATACGGTCCCTGGCTACTGGGTGTTACCCACCCATACACAATTTTGAATAGAAAAAATATTTATAACATATAAACTGTGTGAGCGGGTGAATGGATTATTTATTTTGTATTAATATATTTGTTGCGAATCTGCGAGTGCATGGTGGTCCAATGGGGATCAGCCACGGAGTCCCCTTCCGTCCGAGCGGACAGTATAAATTAACCGGTCGGACGATTTTCTCCCTCTTTTTGACCCACGGCGAGATGTAGGTCGGGTCAGGTTTCTGCGTGGGCGCACCTCACGCGTGGAGGTATTTGTTTTTTTATACTTTATCTTTATGTGA